AATATATATATATATATATATATATATATATATATATAAATGGAAGAGATGGCGCAACTATGAGCAAAAATGTATAGTGTTTTCGCCCGTAGGCTCGACGCCGTCTGACTTTATCGGAAATCGGACAGCATGGATTAAAAGACCGCAACGGTAGCATGTCTGTTGCGGTCAATTTTTCATACAAAAAAAATGGGATTCTGCCGCGGACATAATATGTCCGTTGCACTTTTCAGGCAAAACCGCAACGGCTCTACGAGAGCAGTTGCAGAATGAAACACTATTCAAATTCACCCAAAAACGCAACGGCTCTATATATATATACACACACACACACACACACACATACATGTGCACACATAAACAAACATGCGGGGACCAAATTTTGGTTTGGTAGGGCTTGAACCTATTATGGTGCAGGCCCTGAGCTTTACACCGTCTATAGAACTAGACGATGCAGATTGCACTCAAAAACCAAGGAAAGGGTGACTGAGAACCAAGAGCCTCGATCGCCCTCCCCCCAAGCAAACATTTCGTCACCAATTTCCCGTGTCTACTTGATTTCTCCTCCTGTGCTCTCCATCTATGTTTCTCTCTCTTCCCAATTCTCCATATCCAATGTCCTTCCTCTATGATTCCCTCTGTGTATCACATTGGCTTGAGGGGCCAACCATGAGCCCCTACTAGAGACTGTGGGTCATGGGTCCTATTTTGGTTGAATTGAGAAAGTGGTAGTGGATTTAGGGGTGAGCCGAATGGAATGCCCTAGTTCAATGATTCCAAAACCAAAGCACCTAATTCTTTTTGATGATTTTTCTTGAAGTCCAAAATAAGTTGGATTAATTATTTATGTTCAAAATGACTTTTAACGATTCTTGAAAATTTTGGAAATTTTTCTAAGCAAGGAATTGGTCGTAAACTACAAATACAGGAATGACACATAAGGACAAAGCACATAGGAACCATAGCACATGTGGGGTTCAAATGGCCAATGGACCCCACATGAACAATTGGGGCCCATACATGGCTCACTTGGTGGGGCCACCTAGCGATGATGCAACCATGACGTGGAGGCTTGGACTTGTTTGTCATCCTTGTATTTGTTAAATGGCCAATGTGTTATTTTAATTTGGTCACATGTGATGGGATTTGAGGGGCAGTCCTTGGTCACTTGTTCCTAAGGTCAAAGGGCATGTTCGACATTGGTTGAAGGCTGAAAACATGTCATCTAAATATGCACTTGTCTTTGTTATACTAGTGCAGAAATTTGTCTAAGTGTGAATTATTTTGTTGTTAATAATCTCAATTGTTCATTCTCAAAAACAAATAATCTCAATTGCTCTTTTAAATGGAAAAGAGTGTGGGGGCAAGTTACAGGTGTGTCTTGGGCTTGTTTCAGCCATATTTGTGGTGGTTTTGAATCTTGTTCCATGGGTATATTGTTGTATTTTTCTTCATGTGTTGTATCATTGTTTTTAAATGAGGCCGCATAGCCTATTGGGCACCATGTGGCGTAAGGCGCATCGCATCAAGCCACATATGTGCCTTTGGGTTATGTGCCACATATGTAGGCTCATAGTGCCTTGCACAATGCACCCACATATGCCATCCACACTTGTGGGCAAAAAAGTTTAATTGCAAACAACCAACCCCCCCCCCCCCCCCCACCTCCCCACCCCCAAAAAAAAAACTCATTAGAAGCACATTTGATGGCTCTCTGATGATAAAAAATGTTTTTCCATCTAATTGTCCTCAGTGTGCCTTTTCTCAACAGTTTCCCAAAAGTCTTTAGCATCGGTGTAAGGTTCAAAGACCGTATGCAATCTATCACTAACACAATTCAAGATAGCACCCTTACATGCAAAGTTATCTTGTTTCCATTATATGTATCTTTGTCTTTCTCTAAGTGTAGAATCATCATCAGGTTCAAGTAGGATTTCTTCTTCAATTACATACATCAAATCCATAGTATGCAGTAAATAAGACACTTTACTTTTCCAAAGTGAGAAATTATAGCCATCAAGCTTATCAATCTTTACTAAATCAGTCAATACAACTCTAGGATTAGCCATTTTTTATACAAATTGAAAATCCCTATGCTATGATATCAATTGCTGGCCCAAAAACAATGGATCTCTATTGGTTTTAAGAAGTAAATAAAGCTAAAGTAACATGCAAGTTGGATTTTGAATCAACCAGAAATATTAACAAACATATGACATGCAACTCTTATTACAACAGTCACAAAAGCTTGCTGTAAATTTCTTTAGGACTCAAAAGAGAACCACAAGATCATTAAATTTATTATCCACAGAAGAATCACAGCCCAAAATCTATTGCAACAAGTATTGTAACCTCTTCTAAGAAACTCCAATGTAATTTCCAGCAAGCATGTTCTCATCAAAAACCTAATATAAATCACTCCAACATAAAATGAGGCCCAATATTTTTTCTCTTGCTCATACAACATTTCTCAAACTTCAAGTACTATTTCATATACAAACTATGAACAAAAACTTGGAACTCAACAAATTTGTAGAGACTTCAAGTACTATTTCAGAGTCCCAGTCTAAGACTTCAGAATAATCGGGAGTATGTCAAGTGTGCAAACAATCTCTTTTTTTTCTCTTATAATATTAGTCCACATGATAAACTATTTGATACAATTAATTCTGATGTATGAGACCCAGTTCCGAACGTGTCAATTGTTGGTAATAAGCATTTTGTTAGTCAAACCAATGACTGTTCTCGTACTACATGGATCTACTCAAATAAATCCAAAGATGTAGCATTTGTGTTTAAAGCTTTTCACAAAATGATTGTAACCCACTAGAATGAACCCAATAGAATGCTAAATTTCTAATTCTATGTTCTAAAAATGGAAGAGAGATTATTAATCAGCACATGACTAACTACCTTCATGGAAATGGCATTCTCCATCAAACATCTTAACCTAGAATGGGTTGTGGAGAACAAGAGTAAACTCCTGGATTTAAATAGGACCACTATATTTACTGTGAATTGGCTTCAGATTCAATGGTGTTGTGCCGTATCTGTTGCATCAATCATAATAAATAGGTTAGCCACTACATTTTTGGTGACAATTTGACTTTAGAGCATCCTAGGGTTTTTGCATGCACATGTTATGTCTATATATCGAAAGTACTAGAGCTAATATGCTTGAGGAGGAGGAATCATATTGCTTCACTAATTTCTATTACATCATCTATGCAATGAACCAGTTTCCGCACATAAAGACTCCTTTCATGTCCTTCTGACTTACAAGGAAAGCTTAATCGTACTGATGAACATGCAAATCCATAGCAACTCATCTCGTGACAACCCTCAGCAATCAGGTGAAGACCCAGGTATCCCTATCAATAACTGATTCACATATTGCCTTTTGAAGAGAAAAAAAAAACCCTCATCCAATTAAGAAATTGGTTTCCTACCCATTGATATCCTCCTCTCCTTATCTACCCATCGATATCTTCCTCTTCTTTTGCTTTGCTTTCTTCCCTCAACTCTGTTTCAAACCCAAAACCTGCTAAGTAGAAGTTAGCTTGCTTTAAGGAGAAATGCAATGGAAGGTAATATCACGTGGAAGAAAGAGAACTTCAAATCTAGTTCCCTCACCTGAATGAAAGAAGGTCAGAGGATGCAGATAGGTGCATAGGTTGAACTATTTCAAATGGTACCATTGATCAGTACAAAGTCAGACTTGTGGCTAAGGGCATTAAGCATTGCAGATTCGATTACCATGAGATTCACTCTTGTTAATTGCAGCAAATAAGAATTGGAAATTATTCTTTTGAATGTCAAAGATGCTTTTCTCCAAGGGATCTCGAGGAAGAAGTATGCATACAGTGCCACAAGTTCCTCGTCACAAGGCACCACTATGCATTGCACGTTGCTTTAAGAAAGCCTTCTATGGTCCAAAGCAATCCCCTCATGCATGGTTTACGGGATTTAGCTAACCCATGGTACATGCTAGTTATACACAGCTCGCCAATTCTGTGAAGAAACAAATGCGAAGAGGGGAAATTTTTAGATCCCAATGAAATAACCCTAGATCTCCTCAACGAAATAGGGAAGTTGATAGCTCATAGTTTGCAAACGTTTACAAGAACTCGTTAGCAAGTTGGGCATTTATGACATTCATACACCAATTAGAGGGTAAGTGTAGATGGATGTGACACATAAGGGCAATGTCACCCTCTATGTATGCTTTATAGTTTGCTCATCATATTTATGTAAAACCCATTTAAGGGCATAAGTGAACAAGGGTACTTATTGTAAATGCTACAATTATAAAATATATGAAATGGCACTAGAACAGTTTGTCCCATCCCTTTTTTCTGTAATCTTTTTCTCCTTCAACATTATTGTTTGGGCGAGCACCAGTTCAACTATTTCTCATCAAATAACTTCTTGTAACACTAGATAAAAAGCAGAGCCAATATAATACAAATACACAGTTAAAAGAAGAGCACGTTATATTTGATATACCCTTACTCTTTGGTATGATAAGCAACAACACCAAGTTCATTGTACACTAGAGGATCCACAGGGCAAATTGCTTCTGCCTGCATAAAAAACTACACAGAAAATTCAGGTCCCTCAAATGCTTCATCATAAAGCATACATGTGAATGGATTTTCATTGAGTCAGATGTAATTTTTGTAAAATCAATACCAACTAGCAGAAAATACGCATACAATATGTCGAAAAATTTACCAAATAATTAGACTAAAAACTAAACTCCTTCATTATAACAAGCAAACTTCTAATAGCACTCAAAAGAGACTACGAAAATCACTTTCCAGTGGCTGGAAGAATAATCACAAAGAATATAAAGAATCTTCTGAGTTGAATTTCAAGAGAAAGAAATAAACAGAAGATTTCCATAACTTGTCAGGTGATTCCAAAATAGGTCTCCAAGCACTTCATTATTTTTATATTGATAGCACTTGTCATATGGCATCTTCCAGCAGTCGAACAAATTGGTAACTTTTTCATAAATCCAAGAGTTAAATTGCAATCTAGATTAAAGGATAAATTCCATTTATTGGTCTTTCTGGTGAGATTCAAGAAATGATATATAAATATATATATATACCTCATGCCTCTGGTGTATTATTCTCTTCGATGTTTTTTAATTATTTTTTAAAACATATTTTATTTCATGCCTATATTCTCTCTGAAGTTTTCCTACACAATCAGCAAGTACGTACGTAGTAACAGAATTGGAAGCTCTACAGAAGAGTGGAAGTGGTCATGACAATGGATGAGATATTAAATGCAGCATACATCCTTATAATCATCAATACTTGTCATAGAAATTGTTGACATATCATCGAGAATGTTGTACTCTAGATCTTAACTCTGCATTCTGCATATCTCAGCATAGGTATTCATGGCTGCAATTAGAGAGATTTCTCAAAACCCTAACACTTTCTTGCAAGTATTTTTATGAAGAAGGCCGCTTTCACTAAACCTTTCAATTGAGTAACAAAATGAAGACTTACCCTGGATTTGTGATCGAAAATTTTATTGATGAGAAAAATAATTTTGTCAATCATAGACTTTATTTGCATTGAGCAAGAGAAAACTGGTCATAGCTGTTGACGAGTTATTACCATCAACTACTGCATGCATTGAAGTTCTCAATAATTTGTAGCGACTTAAAACAAAGACGCAGGTCGGGATTTGCCAAGGTCTTGAGCCTAAGTGGCACAGAACTAGTAGCTTGGAGCTAGGGTTTAGCAAAGAAGAAGATATGGAAGATCCAAAATTAGAGAAAGGTTAAAAAACCAGAGATAAAAGGAGCACTTGCTGCTCTAGGGTTTTGAAAAAAATCCATAACAAGATGCTTCATTATACTTGATACAATATCTTATATAAAAAAACCCTACAAGACTTAATCTTGGCCATCCATCTAATCTAATCATGGCCGTTTATTATCAATGAATTTAAGTGATTAAAACGGCATTAAATACTCTAGAAATTACTACATGTGCCCGTAAGTAAATAAAATGACTCGAGAAATAAATAAAAGACATAAAGGATAAATTCAATCACACTTTTGCCTTCAGCATTTCCTCTTGTAAACTTTAAGCTTGTCTCTCTTATCTAGATACTCGAGAGCAAATTTCTAGGCTACATCACTAAGTCAACAGCTCAACTCAGCAGAGTCTCATCTACCAAGACTCGGCCAAGTCTCTACGCAACTAACAAAAAAGTGTCCAGGTGTTGCAGCTATGACAGGGTGACACAACATGCGAATTTGAAAAATTTCAGCACACTTTTTTATTACAGGCTTATACACCCATCTGTCCTGCATGTGTTGCTGCTGATTTTTCGCTCAAACAAGCATAAGACAAAAGCAAAAAGAACCAAAAAGAAAGCCCAAGCAATCTTGCTGCCATATTCCCAAAATATTGCCCAAACACAATAAAAAATCAGCAAAGAAAACTATCCAGAAAATTGCCTCACCCTCTAGGACTTCATACACCCATATAATCCTCCCCGGATTGATTGTGCACCTTATAGACTGAAAGCTCCCTTCCTCTCTGTTATGGGTGAAAAAGTTGCCAGCAAGGTGATCCAGGTTGCAGGCCATTTTTCCTCCTTGGATCTCTCAGACAAGGCAGTTAGGAAGACGTCTTTGTGGCTCACACAATCCCCTCACACGCAACCCACTTCCTCTATCTTTTCCTCTGACCCAAACCCTGAAGGAAGATCACGCGCCCCTCTCCTTTTTCTCTATTACCATAGCAATCCTCCATACCACTTGCAACTCTTGGTTTTCTCAAATGACCTTTCATTTCATGATTCCTAGGCTTTTCAAACCTCCCTACATGAGCCTATAAACAAGGTTTCCTTGCAAAATGTGTAGGTTATACATATTAGAGAGGGAGAGAGACAGGAACAAAAAGGATAAGTAATTCAAGCTAGTTTTTTGGAAAAATTGCAAGTCCATGTAAATGTCATTGTGGGGGCACATTTGCATAAGTGTAAGGAGCGCCACTCATCCAGTTGGGTCCCTAGGAGGTGGACAAGTCTCGGCTTGAAGGCGTCTTTGTGCTGGGATTTGCTGTCTTCTCTTGCTCATTTCTTTTTCTGTGATACATCGTATGATTGTGGATTTGCTAATTTTTTTGACATTCAAATCTCTCATCTACAATCAAATTCCCAACAGTGGAGACTAGTGGCCAATCACAACCACCTTTGGAAGCAACTAATGTTCCACAAATATGGTGGAAAGCTCAGGCCGGCTGCTGAGCAGCGTGTCTTGCACTAAAGCTTCAGGGGCCTGGAAAGTCATTGTCTCATCCTATCAGGTATTTTTGTGCAATAGTGCTTAAGGGTTAAGTCACAAGAAGAATTAGCCTATGGAAAGACCTATGGATAAGTGACACGCCCATGAAATCCCGCTTCCCAGACTAGGGTCTAGCATTCCGACCTTGGAAAGATCTCAGGCAAGTTCTCAGTGACCTCCTTCAACAGGTCACTCCACCAAGTCCTCTCCTCCCTTATAATTGCTAGGGAGGCATGGCCTACCACGTTACGACGAAAACAATGGTCTCTACCTAGTTGGCACTCCCACAAAAGTTTGGTTGGCCCTGGGTGTGGGCTCCCTCTCCATAAACTCTCTTCTCCACCTATTCTCTAGAAGGCCTGAAACCATCTCAAAGGTCTGAAACCACCTAGAAGACCTGAAAGCATTTAATGGCTCAAGGGGTCCTAATCAAGCTGTCAAGGGTGACTCAACAAATGAGATAACATGGGCATCTAAGGTGGCCCCATCGCCTGGAGGCTGGAAACCATTATTGATCAAGTAATCAACATTTTGAATCCCTAAAAGCGACCATTAAACTTTTTATGAGAAAGACCAATGCAGCAGTCCACTCAACAGCGAAAGAGGAGGCATATGCACATTTTTTTAGTGTGGTTTTCTTGAATTGGTGATACATTCTCCCTCTCCCCCCACCCTCTTCCCTCTCTCTCCATGTACTTGTCTGTCTTCCTGCCTTCTTCTGGATCGCATTCTAAAGCAGACACAACCAAGTTAGGTATCAACAATGACAATGAATTCATCATCATCATCATCAAAGCCTTTTCCAAACTAATTGGGGTCGGCTACATGAATCCTGGTCCACCATTCTGCTCCATCAAGGGCCATACCCTCGATGAGGCCATAAGCCTCCATTTTTTTTCTCACTTCTTCCAAGCAATAACCATTTCATCGGACATGCATCTTTATTCTACCATGTCCTTTGGGGGCCTACCCTTTGCCCTTTGTGCGCCCCCCACTTGAACTGACTCGTGCCTCCTAACAGGCGTTGTACTAGGTCTACTACAAATGGCCAGCCCACGTTAATCTACTTCATAATTTAAAAATGCGGCCACATCGCCGCATATGCCACTGCATCATGCGGTATGCGCTAGGAGGCGCATCGCAAAACAGTGCATATGCACTTTGATGGAATGTGCCGCATCCCACCACATATGCGGCATACGCATCGCATATGCACTGAAACAGTGTGATGAAAAAAACCTCTCAAAAAGCGGTCTTTAGGTATTTTTCTAGAAAAGGTGGGAAAAAGGGTCATAGTTAACGGAACCTTGTGGGTAGGGCAACGATTCCACTCTGGAACCTCGATCCCATAGTTCCTACAAGGGATCTTAGAGGGAACCCATTTTTTTTTTTACTTTGGGATCTCACTCCAAAAGAAAAGGACCACATTCCATCCGTCAGTGGAATCCAGTTCAAATTTTGAAATAGATCCCTGCTCCCATCAACCATGGTCAAAGGTTTTGGTACATTAAAATCTTGGGTTACATGTTTGTGGATTCCACTTTCATTAAAGGATGATACCAAGTTAGAGATTGTCATTGTCAGAAGTTCCCATTATTTAGGAATCATAAGTTCCATGATGTTAAAATCCAAACCCCTTTTCGCATAGCAAGAGGTTACATTATTTTAGATTCTTAATTTGAACTTGACATAGTCTAGAGTGACCCATTGTTTTATTAAATCCTGTTGTGTAAGCCATCCCTCTTAGTTGTGAGAATATATATTCCATTTAAAATCTTGTATTGATGATGTCCTATTGTTTTAGAGTCTTAAATATGATAACAGTTGTGAGAAGAGAATACATGCTTTCATTTCAAGCTTTAAAAAGCTTATTTTACGTCAATCAAAGAGAGAGAGAGAGAGAGAGAGAGTTCATCTTGTCCTCTTGCCCTTTCGGGGAGCCAGCCTTTGAGAAACAATGGAAGTAGAGGAAATTACATTCGAAGAAGATGACTCTTGAGTGGTAGGATTCTGGGTTGCAGGAGACTCAAAGGGAATGGTGAATGCCAAACTTGTGTCATGGCCTGAAGATGTAGTGGTCATAAGAAAGACCGACTTACAGAGCTACATAATTAATCTGTTGATATTCACGCAAAAATAAATAAATCCATTGTTAAGGGCAGGGGGCACTTGATAAGGGATTCTTAGTAAATGGTACTTGCGGACCTCGGGGCCAATCAGCGGAGGACCTTGATTCCTATACTTTAAGAATCTCGATATTAGAACAAGAAGAACGCCGTTATATGACATACTTAAACCTCGATTCTTTAACCAAGGAAACTCGTACTAGCTCTACTTAACAACAAAAGTACAACTTGTATGGTAGAGCTTAGATTCCTGCTAGTTAAAACATCGAACCCATTGACAACGAATCTCACTCCCATAAACCTAAGGATCTCACTCCTTGTCTTGTTCATTGTACGGATGTCAATCCAAACCCTAGGGAGCTTCCACTATTGGGCAGTTCAGCAAATCCCGAACCGATCCCGCTCCCACCTACAACAACAATGGGAAGGGTTTTGGAGGGGATATTAAACCCCCCCAAAACAGGCACTTTTATTCCTTTTTTCCATTTAATCGATAAAAAAAAAAAGAAAAGGCAAAAATGTTTTTGTGAGAGAATCTTTTTCCTCATTGTCGCATCGGCCCCCCAAGCGCATTGAGACCACATCCCGCATTTTAAAACAATGGTCTACTTTCTCTCATCTTATCGCCAATTAGTGCCACACCTAAACAATGTATTCATTTCAAATTCTATCCTTTCTTGTCTTGCCACTCATCTATCTCAACATCCCCATCTCAGCTACACTCATTCTATGGTTATGTTGTTTCTTAAGCGCCCACCCATAAAGCAAAGCTGCTCTCACAACTGTCCTATAGAACTTGCCCTTCAGCTTTTGGTATGCAGCGATCACATAAAATGCCGGTTGCACATCTCCACTTTGCCCACCCAGCTCTAATTCAAAGTGCGACATCTTCATCAATCTCTCTACCCAAGAAACCGAAAATGCATTCATTTTTTGTTTTTTCTGGCCGTCAATTTTAACTACGTCCACGTCTCTACTCCTATTATAACTAAACTTACATTTCATATACTTTAATCGGGTTAATTATAAAACCTTCAGATTCTAGAGTATCCCTCCAATGTTATAACTTTGTGTTGACATTGCTCCAATCACATCAATCAAAAGTATGTCGTCCATGAACAACATACACCATAGTACCTCATCTTGTAGGCGCCTAATTAAATCGTTCATAACTAAGACAAAAAGGTATAGGCTCAATGCTGACCCCTAATGTGAACCAATTATAACATGGACAATGAATTGATACACTTAATTATGTAAGAATGCAGAATCCAAAATGACTCCATAGTAGTTGCTAACAGGCTAATAGCTTCCAAGGAAAATAAATGACATATTAGAGCTTATTTCTTGTCAAATAAATGGCAAAAAGTTAGAAATGCTTTTTTTCTCTTCTTGGAATGGTTGAAAGTTAAAATCATTTTAACCATTACAAAAAATGCAAGTTGCAATGTAAAATAAAAACATTTCACTATGTTAAACATCAGCACTGACATATTTCCAATACCTGTTCTGCAAGTTTAAAGTTATGTGTACGCATGTACTCCATTCCAATATAGAGCATAGGCAAATGACACCTGGAATAAGAGTAATATCAGCATGAACCTCAAATTTATGAATAACAAAATGCTTTTCGCCAAAAGGCAATATTCCACTGATTTAGAAGCTATAAAATTCACTGACACGTATAATACAAAGAAAGCCAATGTCTTTAGTTGGTTGAAGGAAAAGGTCAAGGGCCTTAAGGTTTTTGAAAGCTCACTTTTCGAATATGTGTATAAAAGATTATTACAACAAAACCTAGCACAACAGATAACACTGCAACTAATATGTTTGCTTACATACCTAACAAGACTAAGAAAGAATCCACACCAAGAATCGATAACTCAATAAGAAATGCAAATTGATAAGTCATAGCAAACATCTAACACATTCTTCATTTGGACAACCAATGTCTTCCACTCCTCTTTTAGCTTGGTCCACAAATAAGATCTACAAGAATAAAAAACAAAAAAAGAAATTGTCGCAAGCCTCTCATTATCTACATCCTCAAGTCTTGTGCCATAGAAAGAGGGCCCCCCTCACTGCCCAACATAAAACATTGAGAGTCACCTTAAATTGAAGGAGTTCTCAAATCTCAGCATGGGTAGAGTGATAAGTATTGGGGTTTTGTGGCCTGTAAAACCGGTTGAGAGCATAGAAATACAATAAATAGTGAACTATACACTTTAGTGGGAGTGTAGGTTGGTTGACGGACCTAGGGTTGGGCGGTCTATGTTCCTAATCATGTCCAAAGCACTTACCCTTGGAATAGGCACTAACGTTGAGGGTTTTCTTGTTCTGGTGGGTCATCCCTTGTCGAGCTTAGAGAGATACCCAAGAATGATGTTTGTCAGACAGGACAGCTTCATGGTCTCCTATGTGTAGTTGTAGGTTTGTGACAGTAAGGGCCTAATCCTCAACAAACTTCCGCACGTACTACAGCCGCACTCTAGGAAGCAACTATATAAAGAGATACATGTATATGTCCCTTTATTATATCTCTTTAAACTTCTTTTTTCATTCCAGGGGACATACCGCTTCAATCTCTTTTCACACCACTTTCAAAGGAAATAAAAATTACTCTTTAGAACCCATGAGCATGTGAATTGATGACCCTCCACATCTTCAACCAAACCATACCAATTAAAGACCATATCATTGGCTCTGAAACAATCAGATGACCCATCAATAACAGCTTGCAGGTGGTTATAATAAGAAAAGCCTTCAAGAAGCTGTTATCTTCCCATTAGACAGTAAAGTCACGCCAGATTCTCTCTCTCTCTCATCCCCCCTCTCCGTCTCACTCTCTTAGTGTGCTTTGAGATTCGCTTGTTTCAGCTGTATTTTCCTTTTAAATACAAGCCCATGAACCACCTATGAAGCCTCACAGAAATTTTTGGTCCATATTCAATGGGAACATTGTGTTGGGCATCTCCTTGAGATATTACAAGTATTAGTGTAATCATTTAATCATTATAGAAAAATTGGTGTATGAACCAGCACTTGTTGTTAGTCTTAGCCTGCCAAGTGTTCGACACAAGGCCTATACCATCTGACAGCAACTACTAAGAGAGAGGCAATCAACAAAGTCAGTAAATCATTGAATCTGATAACGTGGTCAGTCCGTTTCGAGCTCAAATTTAATATAGAATTTTAATACATTTTGCTTGTTTTATCTGCATCAGTGCATTTAATCCATAACTCTAGCTAAATTAACGCATACAAAACAAAATGGCATCTAGGCTAGTGATGGCAGAGGTGTCAAAACTCAAGAAATTGAATGGAACTAATTTCTCAATGTGGAAGAGAAAAATAGATTACATCCTTTTCCATGATAGGGAAGACTATATTTTAAATTCACACCCACAAGCTTTAGAGCCAAATGTGAATGGTCATGCTAGAAGGTGATTACAAAAATGGTTAGCAAATGATAAAATAGCTAGGACCACAATGCTAAACGACTTGATTAGGGTATTTGAGGACCACACTAGAGCGCAAAGCATGATGGGTACCCTATCTGAGAAGTATGCGACCACTTCTGAGACTCATGTCCAACTCATACTTGAAAAGTATAACTCTTGTAGGATGAAGGAAAGTAACCAAGCATATCAGCAAAATGAAGGTGCTCACAAAGGACCTTGTAGTGCCCGAGAATCCACTTCCTTACTACATGCAAGTGTCAATTGTCCTAAACAGTCTCCCCCATCGTGGAAGCCGGTTGTAATTGCTTTGAAACACTCTACATAGGGTATCATCATGCTAAATCTTTCCATGCACGTCAGCAATGATGCTAAGAGAATAGACGAAAAAGCCAAATGAACTCTTCTTTGCTCAAAGTTCCTCTTCCCCTAAGAAACCTAATTATGGGAACAACAACAACAACAATAATAATAATACTGATAATAATAATAGGTGTAAAAGAAAGGGAACAAATTTAAAAAAATCAAAAGCAACTTAGGAGGACATGCTTTACCGCAAGGTACCTAGGCACATCAAGGCCAATTGTCCTAAGCTAAAAAGGAAATTAGAAACCAGAATAATAACAATGCTCAGAATAACCATAATCAAAATAAGACAAAGGACTTGATATGTATAAGCTCATAATCATTGGTTGTTGACCATGACCTGAGGAATTAGTGGGTCGAATCATCCTCTACTTGAAATGTTTTGAGAAGCAAGGACGGATTCACAGAGTTGAGGGAGATCGCAACAAGTAAACAACTTATATGGGGAACAAAAATTAATGTGATGTACTTGGTGTCAACACTTACAAGTTGTGTCTACCTGGAGGACAGAACCTCTTGCTTCCCTTAGTGGCCACATTCATGGGTCCACAAATGTCACTATGGACAACTTCTAATATGCATATCTCTCAGAGCTTTCACAAAGGATTTCTTAACCAGCTTTCCTTGAATGCATGATTCACAGACTTTCGTTAATTCTCCATTTAGATTATTTAATAAGCCCTCTCTCTTTAATCTCTCCATCCTTTTAGGATTTATGTGCCCTAGTCTCATGTGTCATATCTAGGCATCATCATTATTATCAAAACACGAGACATAAAAAATGGAATACTTTATTGCAAACAAAAAAAAACCACCTACAAGATGACCATTAATGACCAATTGATTCTCATATTTCACTTCCACCTTATTACAAGTAAAGATGATGGAGTAGATTGCCTTAGCCAATCTAGCAACTGAAACCAAACTTTTTCTCATCTCAAGAGCATAAAGAGTTTGCTTTACGACTATGCTTTTGCCATTCTCAAGTTGAAGGACAAATTCTCCAATATCCAAAATTTCAGTCTTTCGATTCCCAACCATATAGATAAACTAAACCCCAGGGGCAACAAGTTTAAAATTTCTATACCCATCCTTAACCTTTGACATATGGGCAGTGGACCTTGAGTCAAAACATCATGACCCTACCTTAGAGTCAATCAACAAGGTCTCAAGGTCCACACACGCATGCCCCCTATTGCCGTTGGGATTCACATTCTTGGGTGCTCTACAAGACTTTGCAATGTGCCGACATTTGTTGCAGTTATAGCACTAGGTATTTTTTAAGTCCTTCCACTTCTTAGGCCCATCATTCCCCTTTTGACTCCGATTGGTTTTGTTTTTATTTTTCCCCTTGCCCTTCTTCTTCTTGAATGAACCAGAGTTGGGTTTAATATTTACCAGATTCACGGAGTCAGTCATTCAGGGCTGAACTATCGCGAGTCAAATCTCCTTTCTTCTTCGACTTTAAACTTGGGATTGATCTCATCCAATTTTGGCATGCTCTCTCTTGCGGTGAGGCCTGAAATGAAGCTTCCCATGAGCATGGCATAGAATTCAACAATTGGCAGATTTGCATGTTTTCATCTAACTTAACTTGTGCAGCATTGAGTTCACGAACTAAGGCTCTGAATTGTTATATATAGTCATTCAATTTGCTTCCATCTTGAAATCTGAATATTGTTTCATAGCCATTGTTTTCTTGGTGAGAGGAGTGGCATTATGGGCCTCAAGTCGTTCATGAATCTCCTTTGTAGTCTTCATGTGCTCATACTCGAGAGCATGGGTGTCATCCATGACCACAAGTAGAACATGCTTTGCTAGAGTGTTTTTACGCTCCCACTCAGCATAAGCATATGTTATGGATTGCCTTTCATAAACATTACCTCTTGAAGCAGGTGAGGGGATCATCAGTAACCATCTGGCTAAGTCGTTCTTCGAAGAGAACATAGCCTATTTTTCTCTTCCAACTAACATAGTTCTTCCTATTTAATCTTTCAGACTTAATAAATCAGCCAAAAAACTTTTTGATGTCACATTTCTATACTCAAATAAAAATAGAACTCCTACATTATGGCAGTAAACAATAGAAGCTCTGATACCAATAAAAGGAATGGCTATGTAGAACTCAAGGTAATAAATTTTAAAAAAATATTTTCCTCCTATTCAATAAACCTGAATTCTACTTACATGGGCTACTATATACTGCTGTAAAATCAAAATTAATACCCTAGATACAATCGAGGATCTTTATTTCCACTGTCAAAACAAATAAAAATAGAGGAGCAATAACCAATCTTCCATTATGGTTTCGAGTACAATATATGTTCCTGGAAATTCAGAGAAAATAATAAAATATGCCTGAAAATTAACTAAATTTGTAGGGAAGACTTACTAGAAGATGCTTAGTGTTACCATCACAAGTCTTGATACACCCCACTCCCAATTCCCTGATCGATGGCGTACTCTTAATCTTTAGGTGTTGCTTAAATTACTGAGATAGATAAGCTTTTCAGGCAATACCTTTCAATCCAAGGTGTTAGAGAGCTCAAAAACTCTACTAGGATTTGTAGAAACCCTATAGGAACAGACTAGCGCAAGGCTTGAGGGTTTATTTCTCTCTTGGCTGGCTATACCTCCTTCTTCAAAAATCAGCAAAACTCACTTAGAGTTTGAAAGTGCCACCTTTTTTCCTTTCCTTCACTTTCTTTGATAGATGACACATAAAAGAGGAGAGAGAGGATGGTGTGACT